CGGGGGGTGATGATGGCAATTTGCCGAAACGTTGAAAATGATTCCGGTAACTGAAATGAGTTGTGAATTTGCAGTGCCCAGGGAATGAGCATGTGTGCTGACCAATTCTCTTCGAGGAAAGATTGTGTGTGAAAAAGCGCTGCTCAAGCACACCACGGACACCCCAGCCGTCACGGACTCTAATAAAAAGAACCGAGAAGGGATTAATTTTGGTTTCTGGTAAAGACCTTGTGATGATTATAAACTTACGCTCTGTAGTTGCCATCAAGAACATCCATATTGACGACAAGATAGGAACAGATCCGATTAGAAGATGAGAAGAGTGAGATGATCATACAGCAGTAAACAAACGGTTGAAAGGTCACACCACAGACAAGCAGAAAATCAATATTCATTGTAAGATTATTTAACTAAAGCAAAAGCATGTGAAATATACAATTACATGTACATACACGTACAATCATGTACACTCTGTACACTTACATGTACCGGCATATGTATGAGTGTGGGGGCTTGGGGGGGGGGGGGGGGGAAGGGAGCTTCGAGGTCGGATCCTGCCGGACCAACCAAAATAGGGCTGCTACGGGCCTGCATACACTACAAGATTATTGACTAAAAGAACTGTTCCTCTGTATTTGAGAGTTGGGGAGCAGCGGAACAGCACTATTGTCAGGAGAGAATGATAGAATTTCAAATAAAACTCTGACCACAAAAGTTTATTAGACTGCACCGACAAGGGATCAATATTGTTTTGTGGTAAAGACCTTTTGATGATCATAAACTTACTCTCTGCATTTGCCGTCAAGAACATCCATATTGACGACAAGATAGGAACAGATCCGTCATAGGTGATGTGAAGAGTGAGTTGATCATACAGAAGTAAACAAACAGTTGAAAAGGTCACAGGACAGACAAGCAGAAAATTTATATACACTGTAAGATTATTGACTAGAAGAAGAACTGTTCCTCTGTATGTGAGGGTTGGGGACCAGCGGAAGAGTTCTATCGTCAGGAGTGAATGCTAGGATTTCGAACAAAACTCTGACTGCAAAAGTTGCGTTTTCCAACAGCCATAATAGTGTTAGAAAGCATGCGTCGTTGTGGGTAGCCATGACAATCATGGTGTTCCGGAGTGAGTCTGCACAAAGCAGACGCAGGCCAAAGTTATCCCTCACTTTCCATTAGACTTCTTTCCTGATTACTTGGCCATTGCCAGCCACTGGCTATGCTACTGTAATGTCCATGGCCAGCAATCGAGGACATCTGGGAGTTGTAATTTTTGTACTCCTCCGAGGTGTGATTTTTGGCGTGCTGGGCAAAGCACAAGGAAGCCACCTGTCAAAAAAATGAAGAAAACGGTTGTTGTCTGATCCTTTGGTGTAATCTTTGTAGCTAGTCGAAGCAAGTTGCTGTTTGGAGCAGAAACGCTGACATTGACTATTTTCTGCATGTACTCATGTACTCAGGCATGTAGTCTCACTCGTATTTTAGCTCTTTTTTCTGGAATGGATGCTGCTCTGCGCCCCTTGGTGAACATTTCCTGCGCTCGTGGAGCAGGTGAAAAGGACCACTGGTATGTCTGGTTCCTGGTTTGAAAATGGAGAGTCGACTTTTGTGTCTTGAAAAAGGAGTAGAGAGTGATATAGGTACGGCTGTAGCTTATTTTGATTGCTCCTCGTACATTTTTGATCGTGATAGAAATTCTCAGACCAAAGTCAGCGCGATGATGACCGATCAGTTTTCTTCTGGATTTTTTAGTTGTTTCGTCTCGTATCTATGTCAGTATCGTGATGGTGAAGTGTAGAGGGTGATTTTCTTCCTCTGGGCTTCGTTCGGCCGACTTTGCTTCGTCCTCGTTGAAAAGTGATGCTGAAAAAAAGGGTATCCCGACTGGAAAAAATCTAGTATGGAATTCAATATTGCAGAGAAACAAGAAAGAAGAATCAGCGATCGCGCGATAGAAATAGCAGTCTGAAGAGACACCCATCATTGCTTCTTGGCCGGCGACAACATGTAAAGCTGAATGACAGTACAGGCACAGCAGTGGCTAAGCAAAAATCACCTACAGTTTCTCCTTCTCTGCAAAGCAAAAACCACAAACTCGGCGACAATTAGAAGTTTATTCCAAATACATAATCTTGCCCACGCGCTCCTATATCAAAATAATGCTGTAGCTGTGTTCACTGCATGTTGCTGCCACTGGAAACACGACAAGCGCAGGTGGCGCGGCATTTGTTTGTCACCGTGTGGCCAAGTAACTAGGGGTTGTCAAGAAGCAGTGACATCAGACTTCGGCGGCCTATTAGACACAACCAAGAAGGAATCAATATTAGTTGGTGCTAAAGACCTTTTGATGACAATAAACTTACCCCCTGCCGTTTCTGTCAAGAACATCCATATTGACGACAAGAAACGAACAGATCCGTCACAGAAGATGAGAAGAGTGAGTTGACCATACAGCAGTAAACAAACGGTTGAAAAGGTCACACCACAGACAAGTAGAAAATCAATATACAATGGAAGATTATTGATCGAAGAACAGTTCCCCTGTATGTGAGGGTTGGGGAGCAGCGGAAGAGCGCTATCGTCGGGAGTGAATGCTTCGATTTCGAATAAAACTCTGACTAAAAGAGTTGTGATTTCCAACAGCCATAAAAGAGTTGGAAAAGCACGTGTCTTTCTGCACAGCCATGACAATCATGGTGGTCCGGAGCAAGTCCGCACAAAGCGGGCCCAGGTCAAAGATATCCCTCACTTTGCAGTGGCCTATTTTCTGATTCCTTAGCCATTGCCAGCCACTGGCTGTGGTACTGTATTGTCCTCTGCTGCACTAAACCGGTAGAGTACAAAGAGGTAATAACTGCTATTTCTACAACACGCAACATCCACAATGCCTGAATCCGCATTCATAAAGATTATACCCAGCCGCCTAAGGAGTGCCACAGCTTTCCAGGTAAGGTGCGATAGAAACCATCAATCACTAAATTGACAAGACAGGAAAGATTGTGGGTGAAAAAGCGCTGCTCAAGCACACCACGGACACCCCAGCCGCCACGGACTCTAATAGAAAGAACCGAGAAGGTATTCATTTTGGTTTGTGGAAAAGACCCTTTGATGATTATAAACTTACGCTCTGCAGTTGCCATCAAGAACATCCATATTGACGACAAGATAGGAACAGATCCGACATAGAAGATGAGAAGAGTGAGATGATCATACAGCAGTAAACAAACGGTTGAAAAGGTCACACCACAGACAAGTAGAAAATCAATATTCATTGGAAGATTATTTAACTAAAGCAAAAGCATGTGAAATATACAATTACATGTACATACACGTACAATCATGTACACTCTGTACACTTACATGTACCGGCATATGTATGAGTGTGGGCTTGGGGGGGGGGGGGGGGGAGGGAGCTTCGAGGTCGGATCCTGCCGGACCAACCAAAATGGGGCTGCTACGGGCCTGCATACACTACAAGATTATTGACTAAAAGAACTGTTCCTCTGTATTTGAGAGTTGGGGAGCAGCGGAACAGCACTATTGTCAGGAGAGAATGATAGAATTTCAAATAAAACTCTGACCACAAAAGTTTACTAGACTGCACCGAGAAGGGATCAATATTGTTTTGTGGTAAAGACCTTTTGATGATCATAAACTTACTCTCTGCATTTGCCGTCAAGAACATCCATATTGACGACAAGATAGGAACAGATCCGTCATAGGTGATGAGAAGAGTGAGTTGATCATACAGAAGTAAACAAACGGTTGAAAAGGTCACAGCACAGACAAGCAGAAAATTTATATACACTGTAAGATTATTGACTAGAAAAAGAACTGTTCCTCTGTATGTGAGGGTTGGGGACCAGCGGAAGAGTTCTATCGTCAGGAGTGAATGCTAGGATTTCGAACAAAACTCTGACTGCAAAAGTTGCGTTTTCCAACAGCCATAATAGTGTTAGAAAGCATGTGTCGTTGTGGGTAGCCATGACAATCATGGTGTTCCGGAGTGAGTCTGCACAAAGCAGACGCAGGCCAAAGTTATCCTTCACTTTCCATTAGACTTCTTTCCTGAATACTTGGCCATTGCCAGCCACTGGCTATGCTACTGTAATGTCCTCTGGTGCACTAAACGGTTGGAGTACAAAGAGGTAATAGCTGCTATTTCTACCCCACACAACATCCGCAATGCCTGAATCCGCATTCATAGAGGTGTTGTCTAGGTAGAGGGGACGGTTCGATACCGGAACGGTTTGACAGCCAAATTTGTATAGACTGAAACCAATCATCAGCTTGGATTGTTCACTCGAAATATGTTTGTGGAAGGAAACTGGCATGTTTAAGTTACTCTGAGGCCAGAGTCAATCGAACTGAGCCATTCCTTTGGGTGGGCCCATTGCCTTCAAGTTGCCCAATTTTTCGCTTCAAATCAGAGGTGGCTCCAAACCGGAAAGGTTTTAGAGTGCACATCAAATTCACTCTGAGTTCTGAAATGCGGTAATTGCTATCGCTCCACGACGGCCAGTACAGAGTAACAATAAGCCTTGTGTGCTTCCATCATTTTTCATTGGTATAAGGTGCTTTATTGGCGAGAGGCGAGCCGCTGTTTACCTGCTACAAAAAGTTGATTTTTCGAAAGATGTAAAACGCCAGTCGCAGTGCGAAGCAACACGTCAAAAACTCACCTGCTTTGTCTGGCTTCTGGTCATCGCAGAGCCATCAAATTTTGGCTCGGAGTAAAACACATCGTAGTCTCACTGTGACATATGTTTTCTAATCAAAATACCAAGAGAGAAAGTGAGTATTGAGTCCGTTCCGGTTTGCGACATATATCCTATTAGAAACCGTCTCCTCTACCAAAGAAGTAACCTTGGCAACCAGATAGGAATTATGATGTAGTCAGTACACTTGTCGGCAACTACAACGTTTGCACCGTGTAAGATGATCATTGGTCCAAAGATCCCTTCACACGATTCAAACTTGGAACCCCCTGTAAGGAGTTAGACTCAGCAGCCATACCACATAAACAATTCAATACTGGATTCGGTGTCGTTGGTGGTGTTGGTGCTAGTGGTGTTGCTGGTGGTGGTGCTGATGGTGCTGGTCGCAGTTGGGGGGGGGGGGGTGCTGATGGTGCTGGTGGTGGTGGTGGTTATGGTGCTGGTGGACCTGGTGGTGGACCTGGTGGTGGTGCTGGTGGTGGTGGTGCTGGTGATGCTGGTGGTGGTGGTGGTGGTGATGCTGGTGGTGGTGATGGTGCTGGTTGTGATGGGGGAGACAACTAGAATTGAGCTGCAATAGGTTTTGACATAAACTCACGCTCAAGTCTGGATGAGTCATCAGCCATGATTTTGTCTTCCTGTATGTCCCTGGAGGATAGAAAGAAACCACATAAGGCAGGAACTGGCGTCACCGACTATCTCTAGGATTCAAAACTGAAGCAAAGTGTTCACACACGTCAAGATACTTTAAGTTACTTGAAGCATTCATTTGAAAAACACGACACTGGAATGGAGTTGAAGTCTCCACTGAAGCTTCACCATTCTATTAATAAACAAGAGTACATTTAAGGCCAGAGTGCGCAGGTCAGATGTGTTTGCTGTCACAGTGAAATTCCTGGATTTTCCCACGTAGCATTACAGTGGCCCGGTGTAGTGCCTACAAGCAGGATTCAAGCAGGTATCTCTCTCTCTGCACAACTTCAGCTGAGTGGCATGCACCACACACTACACCTAACACCACCTCCCAACGCTTTTCTGCAACAACTACAGTAAAACCTGGTTTATAAGCGACCACCCCACGGTACCACGGTGCAAACGAAAGCGGTCGTTAAAGCCAGGTGGTCTTTAGAACCAGGATTTTCAAGATGCACTGTCGGCACATAGGCCTGGTTTTAGTGTTGACATACATAGAAATACCTGTCTTGAATAGAAGCCTGCACTATTTTCCCAAGAACGTCATAGAAGCCGCGACTTTTATGCACGACTTTACGGTATATCTCTACGGTCTAAGACCATGATTGAGAAGCAGAGGGTACCAGGTGCAAGTCCTGCTTGGAAGCGGAAGGAATTTTTCCAGCCGTGCTGCGACCCACAGTTAATTGGGAACTCGTGGCCTGGCACGAAGGTAACATGGATGCCGCTAACGGGATTTCGGTCTTTGATCACATGGTGGTGGGTCTGTTCTACTCACCTCCCACCGTTTAGGCGCTGCATCTGCGCCTTGATCCTAGAGGGTGGTGGCGTTCCTACGGCGGATGCGGAAAACTAGGCTTCCAGCCGAGTCTCACGCGAACGATGAAATTTAATATTTACGATAATATAAATCTACCGTTACCTTGGTGAACTGATAGTCAATTTCCCCTAACATTTTGGTCCTTCCTCTTATACATGAAAACGCAGACACATTGATTTTTGTGCATCCAAATGTCCTGACCCAAACATCAGTGCTGTACAGTGGAGAACACTTCACAATGACAGACTGGATGAGCCTAATACACCACTGTTTTGTACTGCCGTGATGCTGGAGACACCCCAATACACCACTGTTTTGTACTGATGTAATGCTGGAGAAGCCCCAATACACCACTGCAATGTGAATTGTGTGTGTGTGTGTGTGTGTGTGTGTGTGTGTGTGTGTGTGCGTGTGTGTGTGTGTGTGTGTATTTGAGGTTGTTGGTATGTCTGTTGGCTCTGGGTTCCCAGTACTCAGTAGCCGAGGCTGGTTGGTAAAGTAACTCCCATTTCACTTCAAGGTACCAGCAGTGCATCTAGTTTCTGCGTCTATCAAAGCAGCGTGCTGCCTATACTGGTTACCCCGGCAAGTGTAGGATGTGCATAGGTACCTGTCTTGGCCGTTTTATGCCGAAGTACTGCGTGTGGTGTAGACCAGGTGTGCATTGGTGGTCGATTCACATGGCTTTGCCAGTTGTGTGGATTAGACAGTTATCTGGCGGAAGTCTTGATCTGTCTCATTCAGATCTTGTTCGCTATCGTTGCTATAAGAGAAAAGCTGTGGGTGCACATCCAGTGCACTTGCATATTTGCATGCTTCTCTTGCGACGGGCGTATACATGGTACATGGTATGTGTGTGTGTGTGTGTGTGTGTGTGTGTGTGTGTGTGTGTGTGTGTGTGTGTGTGTGTGTGTGTGTGTGTGTGTGTGTGTGTGTGTGTGCATGTGTGAACAGACAGAAGTACAGTGCTGCGCACAACGAAATCCGATCCAGCCAGTCAATCACCCCAAAGAGGGAGAGGGGGAGGCGGGGCTGTGCAGCCATACCTGTGAACACTGGAAAACGGAAAAGAACAGCGCTACCTTCTCTGCGACATGTAAGCTAGTCGGAGAGCAGCACATCGTTCTGAAGAACGGAAGTGGATCATAGGCATAGACAGTTTTTTTTACGAATTCCCATGAATAGTGTTGTTGTTCACAGTTCAGTCGCAAACGTCTCTGTGCACAAGCTGGCGCGACATAACAAGCCACTGAGATCCGCAAAAGGAGCCAGCCACCTGGAAGAAGTCGCCTTCAATCACATCTTTACACTTTGCCTTTCACAGGCTTGAATCCAATTTCGAGAGAAGGTGGGGGTCTCTTCAACACTAGTGTCGATCCTGGAGCAGACCAGGGATCGTTTTTTTAGTTACTCTTGGCTAGAGAAGGGGAAAAAATGAACTTCAAATTGGTTGAGGGACATAGTCACACTGTACTCCAGACTGCTCTGCTGTACGAAGACAGAGTTCGAACTTTCCAGCGGGCACATTTTTCGTACTTCGAGCGGCTCACGGAATATAATTGTTCGAATTACTATTATCGTGTTTGAATTAGAGGTAGTCTACCTGTACATACATACACCAGTTCAGTGTATGTAGTCTACAACCTAGACCTACCCCCCCCCCCCCTCCCCATTTCCCTATCCAACGTATCCTTTTTCTTTATCCTTCTGCAGTGGATGTCACGGTGGGCGCTAATAGTGGGCGCTAATAGTGGGCGCTAATAGTGGGCGCTGCACTTCCGTATAGTATACATGTCTTGCTCTCGTCTTGTTTTCTCTCTCTCTCTCTCTCTCTCTCTCTCTCTCTCTCTCTCTCTCTCTCTCTCTCTCTCTCTCTCTCTCTCTCTCTCTTATGTCCTTCTCTATTTTTCGTGGCGCTCTTTGTCTGTGCAGACGCCGAGACCACCAAGGTCGGCTGAGCAGCAGGGCCCTGCCACCACTTTCCGCATTCATTCGGGAGCATAGTGGACTTAACCCTTTACCGGTCTACCATAAGCGAACCGATACTATAGTATCGGTACGTTTGGCCCTCATTTTTTGGGGGTCTTGTTGCTAGGGGACAGCTAAAATGGCGCTTTACGCGTAGCTGAGGTCCAAGGCTTTCTGACGATGTACAAAACAACCATGCTTACCATACACATTTTTGCCGTATCGATCGACTGAAGTTTGTTGAAATTGGAAAAGACGACCATCCGCCATGCGTGCATTTCGAGAATGCGAGTGCATCTCTTGGGGCCGTGTTTGACAAGCGTTCTGAGAGCAGTAACACCACCAGTCCAGGCTGGATCTCCCGGGAGGTTTTGCAGTGTAGTGTATTGAGAAAAAGAGCTCCGTTGAGTCCTGCTAGTTCAAAAAATATATCGTCCACGAATGAAGAAACAAAATTCTCCAAACAGAGAGGAAGCCTTCTTGCTGCCGACACGGCGACAGCGACTGTCACAAGGACTCGTCAGGTGCGATCAGCTGATTCGCCTGGCCGTGATAATCACGGCATGTGTAAGCTCGCGCCTGAGTGCTCATCTGAGCGAGAGTGAATCTGACGCGAGCAGCCCTGAGATGAATAAACCGAAGCTGCACTATCGTGGAATGGGAATTGCTGCTGCTGGCGTATCGCCGATGGCGAGGTGTTGGTGTTCAATGGCGGTATTGTAGAGAACCTACATTTCTTGTAAAGACGTAGCCCTTACCTGATTGTTTATCGTACGACTTCAGCTCCATCACGAACTTGGTATGCCCTTCGTGCTGTGATATTCGTGTATTTCATTCGCAATTGTATTTTCTCTCAACTTGAAGGGCTACAATGGGCCCTATCCTTGCCTGGACCTAGTCATATTTGAATTTTCTGGACGCGTTCAGGCATACAGATTTTGAAAATATATGGTTTACCCATACCTACATCACATGGTTCTTGAGTTATTGCTGGTTGTGTGTACATGTATTTGCGTGACCACCCCTCACATACATTGAGTTAGACCGGCAAAGGGTTAAATGTAGTAAAAAAATCTCGACTACAGTCCATTCAGAAAAAAATGAACTTCTAGCTTTTGGCCATAAATGGGTCAAACGTTGAATTTTTTTAGAATTTTTTTCTGCAATCCCATATGGAATCCTCTTCCAATTATGTTTCTGAAGTTTTTTTGTCCAAAAAGCAAGCCATAGCAAGAATAGGATTTCGGCCAGGTTTTGCCCCAAAAGCACTGAATTGGGAAAAACCATCAAAATCCAGGCCGTTTGACCCCGCCTGCAACAGTGCATTCTGCGGTTCGAACCCCAGTTCAGGCACCCTTTTTGGACCCTTTTTCAAATTTCAAAGTTCGCAGCACTGCACTGTGTACGATGAAATCACGAAAAATCGCCAAATACGGGAGCTCGCCAGAGCCAGGACCCATCTTTTTATGAATGGACTGTAGTTTGAGGGAAAGACACAAACGGGAAAAGTCTGAAGAAAAATTTGGCTGTCACCACCAGGACTCGAACCAGGGACCCTCGCTTGTAGCTAGCGATGCTCTAACCACTGAGCTATGGTGTAGTCGTCATCCCAGCAGAGACCGTTCAACATCCTCTTCAGACTTCGTAACTCACACTTCCTGTGAATCCACACAGGCGGGTGGGGCGCAGCCCTCACTGTACCCACAGCACGCGGGGAGCCCCAGGTCATAAAATCTTGACTAGTTTGAGGGAAAGACACAAACGGGAAAAGTCTGAAGAAAAAATTGACTGTCACCACCAGGACTCGAACCAGGGACCCTCGCTTGTAAACAAATCTCACAAAATAATAGTCCTACTCGGTTATTCTTTTTTACCTTGCTGCTGCTGCTGCTGCGCTCGACGATGCAGAGAGGGATGCGTCGTCACCAACGGTTGCGTGGCGTGGCAAGCACGTACACCTACAAGAGAAACCGGCCCCACCTGCTTTCCACGCAGAGTGGGGCCGTTGTAACGACTGCGACCGGCTCAACCGCTACCACATTGTCCGGCAGTCGCTAACAAACTAGCAATGACACTGCACTGC